AAGGGACAAGGCTTTTAAGAGGCAGCTGAATCTGCCAGAGCACCAGCGTCTCCTCCTCAGCTGCACAATGATGCCATTGTGGGGAAGGAGCCCCCTGCGCTCACTCCCCCAGTCTGCAGACCCGGCTACAGTGACGAGTGAAGTCAGGAAGGACCAAAGGGTTGGGCTTTCAGTGACAGTCCTGTAACCACTCGGACCAGCTGGATAAATCCGAGTTGCTCACTTTGTATGGAATTTGTTTGCGTGCTATCTAGCAACACCCAGAGACCGGGGGGGGGGGAAAAAAAAGATTTTAAACGTCTTTCATTGAGGTCATGAAACGAATGAGTAAATTTCAAAGCCCGCCTCGGAAATGCCATGAAGTTTTCAAAATGGAAAACTTGTAAAGAAGTTGAATATTGTAAATGCACTGTATTTTACACATAAAACTATGGGTTAGCTCTGGAATTTTCCTTACAAATTACAACTGTGCTGTGAAGGTCGATTTGTTTTTGCGATTCCAATATACATAAAGCTATTGTCAGGCTTCAAAACATATCTGCCTTTTGCAGCGTAAAACCCAGAATTAAACACAGAGTTAAAATTTTTAAAACAACAAAAAAAACCTTGAGTGCTGAATTTGTCTGATCAAAGTGAGAAAAAGCACAGGATATCAACCTGCTGAAAGCTGCATCTCTCTGTTACATCTCAAGTTTGGAAAGCAAGAAGTCAGGCACCCTAAATCTGTCATCACAAATAAAAATTTGGGGCTGAACATATTAAAATACTGAATTTATGAAACAAGAGATAGCTTAAAATTATTTAGACAGCTCCTAAACTTTCACTGTGGTTCGTAAACATATACTATGAAGCGCTTCAGCCCCTAAAAATCTTAAAACACCAGGACATCAAAACAAGATACACAACAATCTTTCCGGAGACAGTGTTGAGGACTGTGATACTGAGTAGACAGAAGGGTCAGCTGAAAAAGTGGGGGTTAGAATAGATAAAAGGAGAAAGCATTTGACAGGGGAGGCTAGGAGGTTGTTCCCAGATGCACAGAAGAGTAAGGCCCAAGGCCAACAGTGGGAAGGGAAAGGGAAGGAAGGACTGTCAATCACCACAAGAGGACCACAGCACGAGGAAGGGTTGGACGGTGAAGGCAGCTGAGGGTAGATTCCAGGGGAAAAAGCACATCGTGTGAATTACAATGCTGCAGATGAACAACAATGTTGTGGTATAAAGCTGAAAAACAGGAAGCCATGAGATTACATGTGGTGATGTTACATGTGGTGAAAGTTCTGTCCTCACGCATCCGAGTCCTAGGCAGCAGCCAGACAAGCAAGAGGGCAAACCAGGGAAAGATGGTAGGGGGAGAAGTCAGAACGGGAGGGATAGTTTTGGAAATCATCCATGGGCAGATGAGAACTGAGGAAAGAAAAAATTTCCAGTGAAGAAGTTCCCAAGCTGAGCATCATGAGGCCATAATAAATGTCAACAGCTTTCCAACGATTTACCACTGGAGCAGTCCCCATTAAGAATATACCCTTTGCTAGCAAAATATTACCATAACCCACCCCAAGCCTTTGGCACACTGGCCACGGGTCTACCGTAAAGCAGTTCAGTAGCTGACGCTTTCGACATAGAGAACCAAAGAACAGAACCTCGGAAAATAGCAACAGGAAGTGGATAAAGAGCCATTTAAAGAGACATTAAATAAACAAGGTAGGAGGTGAAGCAGGTAGGAGCAGAATCTGAAGAACAGAGCCCTGGAAGCCAGGAAGAAGAAAGCCTGCTGAGTCAAAGGCAGTAATCAACCCCAAACCTCAAGGACAGAGAGCTATCCCTTTGACTGTGCTAGAAGGAAACTGCTAATGATCACTGCGATGGCAACTTTGCTGGAGCTCAGCGTGGACAGGCATAAGAACAGGAAACAGAGAACCAGAAGAAAATCAAGGGAGAGCCAGCATGGAAAAAAAAAAAAGGTGCAGAGCCCTAATCAGAGAGACAGATACGATCCAAGGAGAGTTTTCTGTTTGTTTTTTCACAGAGAAACAAGACTGCCAGGAATCTGAAGGGAAAGGTAAATGAGTCAGAAAGGAAAAAGGAAAAAGACTTGAGAGAAGGTTCTTAGAGCAGAGGGAGGTGCGAAAGCAGAAGAAAAAAGGAATGAGTTCAAGGTTTAAACTCACAGAACAAAGATGGAAAACCGAGTGAAGAAAGAGACAGTGGAAACACAAGTGAAGAAAGAGAAAATGACAATGAGGTCAGACAGAAAGAGGAAAAAAACCCCAAATTCCTACTTGATTAGAATGATATTTCCGTCAAGTTTCTCATGAAAATCAGCTTTGTGTAATCCAACGATCGTGAGGTTTTCTCTCCCCATCCCAGCATCTTTTCAATGTCTTGGTCAATTTCAGCAGTCTCCAAGAAAATGCCCTTTTTTGAAATTGCATGAAAGTGTGTGTTCAATATACCTGTTTTCTAACTAGAGGAAAGGCTGTAACGTGAATTTTTCCTAATTGCTGTTTCCTGATTCACCAGAGAATTGGCACAAAACTACAGTGTGACAGTGAGTAGACGCCTTACTTTTCTGTAAACCAGTGTCAACCAATTGAAGGACAGAAATCCACAGAAAACTGGAGAAACAACTAGCTGATTTTTTTTTTTTTAAATACAACGAAGGCTGGACAGAAAGAGAAGCATAAAGTAAGAGCTGATAGCGGAAATGGAGGGTGAAGAAGATTTGAGTACAGGTGGGAACCTAGATAGCTGGAAGTAAGGAGTATAAGCTGGCAGTTTTCTTGCAGTACAGGAGCAAGAAATGAATGTGTGAAAGCAAGCGTAAAACAAAAATCAAGAGAAAGAAAATAGACCAAACTACCAAAGGACTCAAGAGAAAAGGGTAACGTTATTTGGAGAAAATGTAGAAATTGCCAGTACAGAGGATTCCGAAGACGGCTCTGGTGTTGTGGTCACATACTGCTGTCTACTCTCATTCAGCACACCACTTCTGTTGACCTGAAAGCTCAGTTTCCAACAGTAAATGCAATACATGACTTTGTCCACAAAAGGGATCACTAGCTGATTCAGTGGTCTCTCATCATGTTCTTTGTCAGTGCCTAGTGCTCACTAAGAAAGTTGATCCAATCAGTGGAATGGATTCTTTACATCCTAGTCAAACCTGTTGAAGCCTAGAGTCAACTAACCCAAATATTACCAGTTTCAAGCATTCAAGTTATTGCTTTGGAATCTTGTTATTTCACACAGACAGGTTCTGTATGTAATTCACCTTTTTTTTTTTTTTAACAGCAGCTATTGCTAAGTGCTGAATTACCCCATTTTGCAAATTAGCAAATAAGTAAACATGATTTTTTTCCTGCTAAATAATTACAAGATGGAGTTCTTCAAGTATTTTGACAAGTGTGGTCTTGTTTTAATTATTTATGAGAATGCTTTGCAGTATGCCAATAAGAGGCCTACAGTATATTTTAGCATATTTTTCAAAAATAATGAAGTCTGAGGAACACATGACCTTTCTGCCGCAGTCTACAATTACATCTGTGCTTCAAGGGAGCGTGTGGGTGAGCAAATGACAGCACCATTTGTGTTAAAGCATGAGTATGATGGGATTTCCTACTTAATGCAATAAGCTATAGCATATTCCTATCATACTTCTTCTAAACAGACACTGAAATTTCAATAGTTCTGTAGCATCTGAAAGCAAAAAATACAAACATGATATCCAAGCAAAACCTCAGTACCAAAAAGAGATTCTAAAACAAAGATGAGCTTAAGTAGTTACTTTCCACTACTTTAGCATCTGAAATTAGAAAACAGGGGGACTCTAATCCTGTAGCTTCCTGCCTAGTGGCACAAACTCAGGGCTATGATATTTCACACCGGTACGAAAGGCCACTAGCATGGGCAAAGTCATAAGCTAAAAGGATAAAGTAAAGATGCCTAACTGTACAGTATCCGAAAAATATTGTAATATTTCATACAAATTAATGAGCAGAATACCTTTCCATTCATTTCTTCTACCAACTTTGTTTTTAAGGATGTATCACCTGTCATATTCTGGTCATGAATTAAGATTATCATGGTGGTAAGCACTATAGATAATTCTTTTAACTTGAAAGATTAAAATCATAGATCTTTTGTCTAATTGCTGGAAAAACCCCATTGTATCAGGGTACCATAACTAATGAAGTTAACTATGAGAGCAGCTGGCCTGCGTTATCTGTTCTTTAGAATTTTCACCACGGCCTGAGTTTTCGCACACATGCTGTTCATTGCTTATGCACCTCTAACTGTTGACATACGCACATGATTCAGCTGACATTGCTTCTCTGATGTGTATCTCCTCTGTAGATACATTCTCCACTTTAGAACTGCATATCGTATTACCGTATCCAATGGAGAGTCAATTCATATTCTGACAACCACAGTACTGGAAAGTAGCAAGCAGACATACCCCGAATGCCAACACTGCAGTCTGCCAGATTAAATTTTGCAAATACCATCTTGCTAATCTGTCCTCAGACTCCTGATGTGACTGGGATGAGTGTGGGGTTAGAGACTATGCCAAAAATTTCCAGATGATCAGATCCTTTTCCAAAATTTCACCCCCTGGAGGTACACGAGGCAGCAGCACACGCAATAAGCAAGAAAATGATCACGTGAATCCTTAGGTTATACCTGATCTACAAAAAGACAAAGAAGAGTCTTGAAGCATTTTCACATTACTCTTTGATCATCTTTATATCTATGATCACATTCTCATGTTAGTCAATACCTACAGAAGTCTCTGAAAGATTGACTTTGGCAGAAGTAATGAAGGAAAATAATTCCAGGCATGACAGTCATTTACATGATTTTGCTCATGTCTCAGAATTAATCCCCACGAGCAATGGTATAGGCGTCTTTGGAGACAATCAAGTCGCACCAACTCCACTGCTTAGCCTCTCTCTAAAATGAAATGCAGTACTATAAAAAGAAAGGGAGGTTTTGGCACTCACCTTACATCCCTCACAAGCACTGACACCATAGTGATATCCAGATGACTTGTCTTGACAAACAAAACAGGGCTTGTAAACACGAGGGGGTGGAAGTGGTGAAGGAGGGCTTGGAACAAGCTCCTCAGAACTGGTGCTCTGAGTTTCAACTGCTACAAAAGAAAAAAGAAGGGAAAATATGATTTAGTAATTAATTAATGAATTTTAAATAACCCATTATTTACTGCCTTGAAACTACTAAACTGGATCATATCTTTCTTGTATAATAACTTTACATTTGGCCTTTCTAGCAAAATGTAAAGGGGACTAAAGTAAAGAAAGCAGTGACAAAACTACATGTTAGAGCCTCAAAAGCAAATTTTGAAGTGCCCAGGATGCAACGTTCAGCTTTTTCATGATTCGGCTACTCAACACTGCAAAAGGCATGAGACCTCAGCTCACTTCAGATGCATAGGCTTGAATCTCTTATCAGGCACCTAGCACGGGCAGCCTTGGGCTCCTGTGCTGGTTTTAGCCTATTCAATTACATGTGACCCATGTGTGCACACTGAACATCAGCCGTCAATGGAAAATTGCTGGTGGCATGTCCCCTTCCACTCAGTACCCAACCTTGCAGCTCGGAGACCTCTCATACCCCTTGGCTACGCCTTCAAAAGGTAACACTTGCAATGTGTAGCTCTGCTATGGGAGGATGGGAAACGCATCAGCATTCATGTATAGAGAAAAATAACTGAAGGGTGAGACCAGAAGTGAAAACTACCTGAACAAACATTCTTTTTTGTGTGTGTGTAAATTAGCACATCCCAGCAACACTTCTTTATAAACTTTAGGATTTGTAGTATCAGGAAACCTCTCTGAGAAAAAGCTGCTTTCGTACATTATGACCCTACGTCCCTTCATTGCCTTAATATTTCTGGATGACCATTTGTTTTCCACCTGTTGAAGAGGTAGTTATCCCTTTCAGGGAAAGGACAAGAAAGCTCTAAGACACGAGGTAAGACATGTGAACTAGATCTTTTTGAAATATCTGCATTAGTTTTCTGTGATACGCTGTCATCATTCTTCACATTTATTGTAGATGAGCAATACATTTTCATGTTTCACTTACTTGTTCTGCTGCTTCTCAGATAAATCTGTCTAACTTTTCAACAGATACACAAAAATGACAGAATCTGTGAACTCAGATCCATCCAGAAATATTAGGCACTATCTGCAGAGTTAAATCTCAAGAGTACTAACAGCAGGCCCTGAAGAATATTACTCAGTGGAAAATTTTAGACAAGATTTACTGTACATGATATTTTTCAGATTACTAAGATGATACATTTGTATTAAACTCATGATTCATCACCAACTTGTGCTCTTCAGAATTCAGAGGGGATCACTGAGCATCATACAACCCTTGATTATTTGTTAGAGAAGGCCAATATCTGCTATTTTTACTTGGGTTAAGCTACTATCAACTTCAAGGACAGACATTTCTTGAGAACAAAATACGTGCTAGAATTCAATATTAAAGGCACTGACAGTAAACAAAGAAATCTCTTTTCAATAGGAACAATTTATTTATGCATCTATCAGTAATGAGGCTTGTGTGAAAAAACATAAAAGTAAAAAAACAGCATGTGACTCAATACAGTAGGACATTAAGACAATGTCTGGAATTATAATGATCTGTTTCAGAACCTTTTGAAACCAAATATCTGCAGGTTCCTACTGGACCAGACAAACTTTATTAAAGGTTTTTTTTTTTTTCTTCCTACTGAAAAAGAGATGAAAACGATCATTTCTTTTCAATAGTAATTTCTGGTATTTAAGAGAGACACAGAGTGCTATGTTATTGATTTGTGCACAGTCATCCTACTTAAATCAATAATCTATTAGTATTTCTAAATTAAAGTTAGATTCATCAAATGCCCTTGGGAGGCCTGAAACATGCTGCTCCTTCTTTCATGCTAGTATATGACTCTTAGCGGCTCCCAATCAGGTTACGGAATGATAAAACTTCAGCTTTAAAACTCTGCAATATCAGCAGACAATGTGGTTCGTATTAGCTCATTCAACTCTCCCAGTCAGTCCAAAAGGCAGTTTTTAGGCTTCCCCGGGGAAAATGGGGTTGTGTCATTCAATAAAACAACCGCACTCCTGCAATCCTTATGTGATTCCAGTTTGGAGAAAGCAGTCTTTTAGGAATAATACTGATCCACTTCTGCTTTTTTGATGATTTCATTCTAAATAAGCACCAGCATCCAGTTGTAGTGTTCAAACCACTAACCATATGTGCAACACAGGTCTGTGAGCCACTGGCCAAGCAACAGGAACTTGTGGTGCTCAGAAGAGATTAGGCAGCCAGCTCAGTTCATAAATACAAGAAGTGTAGTCAGCAACTCAAGATCTGAAGATACCGCTAGAGAAATCTTTTTGCTGGATAATTTGAAAAGGAATATGAAAGGGAAAAAAACAAAACAAAACAAAAGACCCCCAAAACCCAGACATGTCCTGCTACTAAAATGGCCCAATCCATTCAATACGAGTACTTGTGTCAGATGAACAACCGTCTGCAGAGTTTTTTATTTTTCTAAGAAAACGCGTGTGAGGAACATGTCTACTTTTGCTCATAGGCAAGATGGCCTGCTTTCTGGAGGAGCTGTGAACTTGGACTACGCAGGGTCAACTCTTATTGCTGCTCTGACTTACTAATATTATCTGGATTTAGCCTCTCTAGCTCTTTATCTATTTAGAAATATATATACAGCTAGCGTGGAAGCACAGAAATCAGGAGCAGGAGACTGTGGCAATTCACGCTCACAAAGTATGAATGAAAGGAGTTAAGGATTTAGTGTAAAACATCACTACTCTATCACGCAGGTAGCTAGACGAAGCAGAACTGCCCTCTACACACAGCTGCACACAGGAGTCAAAAAAAAGGGGGGGGGGGGGAGGCAGTTGACCATTTTGACATTTCCAGAAAATGTATTTTTAAAGTAATCTTACAATTTCAGGAACAATGTAGTCAAAAGAGAGAGAAAGAGAAAAAAAAGTCCACTTCTTTCAATGTCCTGCTGTCTTCTCCCTTTAATGTCCTGCAGGATGGGACAGCTGAGGATCCCTACTCACCTGAGAAAACAGGGCCTGAATGCAGCTACAGCACACCTGAATGCCACTTAAACATACAGGAATCTCAAACAATAGCTCGCTTCACAATTCCTAACATGTCTGAAATATTTCTAAAGGTTAGATAAAGTAGCAGATAGGATCTTTAAAAGCACAGTGTGCTTTGTGCAAGCTAATTTACTGTTAGCTAAACCATGTTGACAGATCGAGGTATTTTACTCTGTGACCAATTAGAAGCAGGGCAGGCATTATGAAATGCCTTTTATTTCACTAGAAACTTAGATTATTAAGCTTGTATGTTAATGCACACTTTGGACAGTTGAGTCTTAAAAGAATAAGAAGTTGTAAAGCAAATGGCATTTCCTGGATAGCCTCAAGGGAATTTTGAATACTGAGCTCAGGGTCCCTGGTGGGAAGCAGCAATTTCGGCTAATTAGGGTGAATAGCAAAGTGTTGCATTTGGTCAAAACATTCTGTTAACCCTCATTTTTGTTGGCACCAACAAGAGTCTGGATTTTTTGACTCTTTTTTTTTGTGAATTCACTGCAGGAGTGCAAGGCACACAGCTCACATACATTAGGCAGAAAGTCAAAGGAAACGCCAAAGTTCAACTAAAGTACAAGTAATTAGAACCAGATTCTCTGCTGCTTGTATGTGTGCATTTGATTGTAGAAGTTATTTATAAGCCTCCAAACATTTGAAAAAATAACTATATACTGTAGATCATTTAATTTTTATGTCTAGTCTGGAAAAAAAAGTCTGCTTTTAATCATCTTCCAGGAAAGAGCCAGGAACTGGGAAAGTGGGTCTCAATTGTTTCAATACAAATTTCTCTCTTTCATGTGCCACATAAAACTACACTATAAAATTAAATCCAAAATATCATTGACTCAAACCCCTCACCCAATTTTTTTTTAATAAAGAACTTCTTTGAATTTGTCATGCTTAAATAGTTTGCATTGTTATGAGGGTTTTTTTTTTTAACTGTTGTTTGGAAGACAGACAAAAAAAAAAAAGAGTGCGAGAGAAAGAAAACATTATCGTGGAGACTTGCCAGCCTTGACTTAGTAACCTGGCCATGACCCTCCAGCGAGTGTGTGTTTGACCCGGTCACACATGATTCTGGCTGCGTACTGTTGCTGGGTTATAAGTCCCAGATATTTTTATCATATACACAACAGGTGCGGATCAGAGACAACAGAAAGATAAAAACAAAGTCTTCCCTTGTGTGAAGATGCTGATTTTCTTTCCTTCAAAGAAAACACCCAAACCAAAGAGGTCGCGCTACGATTTCATTTATTGACACTGCCTGTGCTTGATGATTGTCCTCCGTGGGAATTCACACTGAACCACGCAGGGGGACACACCGCATGGAAGCAGAAAGGACTGAGACCAAGGGGAAGGAAGAAAAGGCTCAGGGGAAAACAATGTACAAAAGATTAACCAGCTTATATTGTATTACTAAACTGCAACATCGGAACTACAAGCACAACCTTTCCTTGGAGGGCTGAATATGTACTGAGGCTCAGTGAATACAACAGTTCGGGAGTGAATACAACATACCCGGATTAACACATAGGCTACCATGATAACTCCAGATCGAGACAATGTTACAGGATTTTCACAAGTACTTAAGAAAACCTTTTTTCTTCCACATTTGAGGTTCATTTGTTTTTTTTTATGTGCGGGTCTTGCTAGCTGGACACATCTGCCATAAAGCCATTATGTTAAATATAAGTTACTCTATTTTAATCCTTCATCACTACTTTTCCAGCATTAATTTTAATCAAGTCATAGTTCAGCTTTACAAAAGAGTCTAGGTCTTAAAGAGGCATGAGTTGGGCTGAAAGACAAAACTAAAAGTCTTCAGGCTTGCTTTTACTATAAAAATGGGCATTACATTTTCAAAAGGGATATCAGAAGATTAAACTTTATGATCTAGCTTCTACTTGAGGGTGCCCAAAACAAAATGATTTCTTTCTGTTATTTGAAAAGCTAAAGAGTATTCCACAGATCTTCATAATGTACTGTTAAGGAT